TATCGTCTCGTAACGTTCGACTGAGATACAACGGCAGAAAGAAAGAAAGGACAACGATGGCGGGTTAGCGAGCGATCGAGAGACAGAAATTCTGCCTTTCCACTCGAAAGACGAGGATGCAGCCTCTCGGTTGAAAGTGAAATCGTCTGCACAGCATACTTACTTGTATCATAGCCGTTATTATATGTTATGCCAGGCTTCGGAGGAGTTCAAACCGCGATTACGGCGGCTGCACAGCGGAACCAGCCACGGTGCGCGCGTGCACGACCGGATATCACGCCTGTACATCCATGGCGGACACAACGACAGCGACGAAACCGAACGTGAAAACGGTAATCGTTTGCCCCTGAACGGAACCGATTCCGCAGGGAAATCCGTATATTGTTTCCAGCTGGTACGCGAGTAAATAGGAGGCGCGGGTACTTGCGTTAATTACGAAAGTGAAAGTGTGGGTCATTCAAGACGGCAGGATTATATACGTACACGCATGTGCATATGAAATAAAAAAAGAAATCTTGAAACCTTTTCTTTATGTTCCTTTTACGTAATTGATCTTGATATTGTTCCTACACCCTGATTATCTGGGCAGTCAGCGAAATTTTCATAGTTCCGCGTAACATTTACTTGAAAATGAAAAAGAGAGAAATTTTATTTCGGTACAAGGATATCTGATTACCTTTGAGTTAAAATATGTATTTATTTCAAAAATTAAATAGAATAGTAGGTACTTTAAAGAAAATTATCAACGGAATCTCTATAGATACTGTTACAAATCTTCACAAATGAAGATTTCGTTAAAAATGAAGATTACTTTAAAGAAAATTATCAACGGAATCTCTGTAGCTACTGTCACAAATCTTCACAAATGAAGATTTCGTTACAAATGAAGATTTGTAACAGTAGCTATAGAGATTCTGTTCATAATTTTCTTTAAAGTACCTACTATTATATTTAATTTTTACTATAGTAAAAAATTAATTTTCACTACAGTTAATTTAAGAAAGACTGAATAAAATAACAGATTAAGCAGAAGTGTTATATGAATTTCAAATGAAAGTATAATCGACGTAAAAAATGACGTGTGAATGTCTATAGATTTATAATATATCAAAATAAAATAAGTCTGTAATGGATGAGATCCATACTCGGCAAATTACGTGATTTGTGTATACTGTGGAGACTTTGATATATAATATGAACACCTGCGGTCTAATTATAATTTAGTAAAGTAATAAATTAGAAAGGTATAAAATCGTGAGAAGTTCCAAAGCCCCAAAAATAAGAAATAAAATTGATGACCGACAAGCTCGTAAAAATTGAACCTTGCGGTACAACGGTATTTCGTACTATACTTCTAATGAAACATATAAAAACAAAAAAATAATAGTAAGCATAGTGACAATGATTCTCCGTTTGAAAATGGACAGCCATTAATAAATAGTTCTCTTCTGTGACAAATTTCCTTGTCTTTGTCTCTTTTCTTTCTTCGCTGTAAGGGCTTGCAAACATCGTTTGTGACATTTTATAATTACACAAATATTTTTAACTTTCGTACTAATTACATTCGTACTATTACAATTAATAGATAATAAATAATTTTATAATCCATTATTATCTATTCTTTCGATTGCCTATAACGAAATCGAACTCTAGTGTAATACATATGAGGTGCGACCATTAAGTTCCGGGACTGGTCCCGTATATGCAGATAGAGTCACATGTTTCAAATTTGGCTACTATCCCCTTCAAAGTAGTCCCCTTGTGCAGCTATGCACCGATCCCAGAGCCTCTGCAATTTTTGGAAAGCTTCCTAGAAGTCTTCTAGTTGAGGCGTGTCAAGTACCTGCTACGATTCGCATTGAATCTCGTCCACCGTGTCAAATCGGCGATCCTAGAGTTTTAATTTCATTTTGGGGAACAAAAAGAAATAACAGGGTTCCAAATCTGATGAATACGGAGGGTGAGGAAGTACGACAATTTTCCATGTTTCTTTTTTTTTTATGTCCCTCTGTTCCAATTTGGAGTCCATCGTGATTTCGCAAAGGAGAGCGCGCGTATGCTACCATAAACTTGTATAACACAGGATTCAATGAAGATATCGTTTCCAAACTTCGTGTCATACGTCTCGAAGATTGTTATTCTTATGTTCTGCGAGCGCATGTCAATCGTGTCATTCGTTTGGTCACAACAGACACAATCCCGAAACTTAATGATCGCACCTCGTATTACAAGAATTTTTCAATTTTCCTTCAAAAGAAGAAAAAGAATCTCCGGATACAAGCATCTCACTTGTTTTTTTTTTCACCGAAGGCAGAAATATGAATTATTCTTGTCTTATCCGCTTAAAAACTAATACAATCACGCCAGAAGTAAATTAGTTGCCTGTCTAACTCTGTATTTAAAAATTGGCAAATACCATTCACACAAACATGTACCTCATGCACCCTCACATGTCATCCAGGTGTAAACACCTTCGCTAAAGAGAACGTCTTAGGACGTCTACGCCATCTGAGTGCAACACAACATTCATACTCTAACAAACTCATACCCTTTTTACTGATATCAACTGACAATCGATAGTGAAAAGAAACATTAATATATTTTATTTTTTTATTTTTTCCAATATGTGAATATAATATGCTACAATAATTTTGTGATTAGTTTCTATTTGTATTGTATAATTCTGTAATATGTTTTTATTCAACTTGACATTTACTGAAAATCTTGAGCTAAGAAATGTGGTTAATAAAATGTCACAAAAATATTCTTTGAAGAGGATTATTTTTATACTTGTACTTGAGAATTGAAACAGTACTTTGCCAGAAATGTACATCTGTCGTTTCTTCAATTTCTGACAGTTTTTTAGTATCAAAGTAAACGTTCTATGTAACTAAAAATGTTCATCGTTATTACTTTGATACCAAAACCTATTCACTACGTAAAGTTTTCCTGGACATGTGTATGTTTAAAATGAGTTTACAATATTCGTGTGGAATAATTAAAAGTGAAATAGATGCCGCTTTGACTTACTATCGATAAAGTCGATTACATATTACGTACTTTTAAAATGCGTCAATTCTTAGTCACTTTCAAATTTCATTTTTTAATACATACAGTCGTTTTCGCAATTTAGAATTATAAATATCAGGGCGAAATTTCGCAAATAAGCTCTTTTTTGCTTAAAAGAAGATATCTGTGATAATGATTTTTGTCGATTCGGAAGAAAATTTTTTGCCATTCTTATGTCATTCTCTATATCATCGACGAGGTACAGTACAGTACGCGAATTGTTCTGAACACATAATACACATTTTCGGATTCACGGAATGTATTACAAACAGCAAAAATCAATATTAATTAATAAGCAATAAATATATAGATACATTTATCAATAAAATCAATGTTAATTGAATTTTTACGAAAATAAAACAAGTGGCGCCATCTCTCCGGCGAAGAGGGTGAACTACACACTTTTGAAACTGGAGTTTAATTAGTTCTCATCTTCTACCGCTAGATGGTAGCACTTAAGACAGAAATGTGGTGATCGTCGGAGTTGTCGATCAAGAGGAATTCTATTTTCAAGCCGTCGGTAAAGAAGAATTTTATTTGACTTTGATATTCAACTTTATTTATGTTCAATTATATTTTAAAAAGCAAATCGTTCGCAATTCATTCCATAATCAAATCTGAATTCAAAACGACATATTTCAAAATCAATTTCAATAAATCAGTTATTTTTGAAAGTATTAATTAATTGACTATTTTAAATACAGAAAAACACTCTCTATAGAAATGTAGCGACAGCGACACACGCGCCCTCTGGAACATTTCCTTTACTAGTTACTTTTTATTTCTTAGGTTAAGCTGTATATAGTTAGTTGGTAATTGTAGTTTGTAAGGAACACGCGCTAAAAAATAAGCGCAACCCGCGTCACTTGGAGTATGAAAGCGAAAGAGTCTACACGTGCACGAATTAATAAAAAGTACAATACTTGCAAGTAGAATGAAAAAATCGTTGTGCGTCATTTACTAGACCGGGCTCTCCTTCACGAACCTCAGTCCCCACATAATTATAGGGATTGTCTTCCTATATTTTAATAATCAATAAATTAATAACTTTGCAAAATAACTGATTTTATTGGATTTGATTCTGAATTTGATTTTAACACGTGTTCTTGAATTAAGGTTTGATTACAGAATGAATAGTGAACGATTTTGTTTTTAAAATAAAATTGAATATGATCAAATGATGATAGCTTTAAACATTAATCATTTGTTCACAAGTACAAATAGAATTCTTCTTGATCGACGACTTTTGTAACAGAACTCATCTTGACTGATGACTCTGATGATCACCATAGAGTATAGGAATGATGAAAATGATACTGTGGGAGTGAATTATATTTTATGCTTGTTTAGTTGTTAAATGTTTGTATAGTTTGTTAATCGTTGTGAAATTGTATGTATGATATGTATGACTGCAAGTGTGAATGACGATTTATGAACTAGTTATGAAGTAGTTGCTAGCGTTTAGAAAAAAGTGTTGTTGTGGAGTTAGTTTAGAAACGGAAACGGAACGGTCAAGACGTATTAAAAACGCCACGTATTACGAGTTAGTTTTACGTTTTACGATTTACGTTTAAAGTTCAATACGTTAATGTGTTCTTGTGTTCTTGTTTATTATTGTTATTGTGTGCTCTTAAATAAATAAAAGGATAGTTCTACAAATACTATTCCTACATTATTTTATATTCGTACACAAATACATCAAGAAAAAAGGAAACAATCTTTTAAAAAAACCGCCACAAATGCTATTAACAGCGCCGTCTAACAAAAAACTGCTGAGCTATGATGAACACGTGTAAAGTATCGACCGGATTCTGTCGGTAATTAATTGATGACACTTCAACGGTAATATACCATCAGCGAAGTTTCTATTATAGTTCCGCGTATCACAGCTAGATGACGCTGCGTCGAACCTGCATGAAGGGGCGTTCAGATTAAGCAAGTACCTGTCAAAATAGCCTAATGTGAACGACATTTAATACAGCACAAGAAAGCAATCGTCCGATTTAAGTATTCATCACATTTTCTTCCATAACTTACAGTTCTCTTCAACTTTTTAGAAACAAATTAATTGCTACATTATTTTTATTCTCTCAACAGATTTTTATTAGCTTTCTACAAGATCCTGTACTACAGCGCATACTAATATGTACATATTATTATGATAATTCCGTCCCAGAATTAAGTGTTAATAATGTATCTGTTACCGTGAAAGACCGAAATCTGGAGAATGTCGACTTTCACCGGTGAATGTCAACATTCACATAGTCGCTTGGTGTATGTCCGAAATATTTGCTAAATACCCTTATTTCTGACTTACACCGGTAAATGTCGACATTCACCATGCACTAATGGTGAATGTTGAACATGTCGGAGATTTAT